CACGGCTATAGAAGAGCTTATCTAAAAAAAAAAAAAAAAAAGCACAAATGCAGGACTTGACACATCATTTGATCATGAATTTTTAAAATATAAGTCAGCAAAATACATATAAACATCAGTTATTTCAGGAAAAAAATCTATTGCTCCACTAATGTCAGTTTTGAATGTCATTAATTCTAAAGGTATTGAGATCTCTTTTTAAAATTCCCTTTCATAATTCTACACAACTATCTTCAAAAAGATTACAAATCTCAACTCTTCAAACACTATTATACTTCATTTCTGAAAAAGCCAAGAATCATTTTGAACAAATAGAGCTGAATAGAGATAGTTGTATCGATTTAGAATAAAAATTACAGTAACATCTACAAAATACAAATGGCTTCTCAAAACTATTGAGTGAACAAGTGGGAGTAAGATGTAGTCCCCGCAGCAGGTCTTTAAAAGAATTTGTGAGTTTAGAAAACACATTTTAGGTTTCCTTATTGTCACAGTTTGGATGTGGTGGAACAACCCCATAGGCTGTTGTGTTTAAACGATGGTGAAGTTGCTTCCCATAGCAACACGTTCTGTGGAAGGAGGTGGGGCTTAGCTGGAGGAAGTGGGTCATGAGGGGGCGGGCCTTGATGTGTTACAGTCCTTGCTCACTACCTGTCTCTCCTTGCTTTCTGCTTCCCCATCCTCCACCCTATGTGTGAGTGAGCAGCCTCCTGCTCTTGCTACCATAGCTTGCTGTTTCACACTTTGATTGGCTGACCTTCACCATAAACCAGAATGAGCCCCTCTCTGCCTATGTTCCTGCCTGTCATGTATTTGATCCTAGTAATCCAGAACAGTAATGAATACACTTTTTAAATTTTTACTTTTAATGGGCTCGAGCTGCTCTTCAGAAGACCCAAGTTTGGTTCCCAGCACCCACGCCAGGTGGCTCACAATCATGTGTTAACTCTAGCTCTAGGGAATATGGCACTCTCCCTTCATCCATAATATACATTCAGTCCGGCACTTAAACATTCATAATTTTAAGATTGTTTCTTTTGCTTTCTGTCTAGCTTCCTCACATGTGACTTCCCCTTCTGTGCCTGGATTAATATTACTTTTCTCTACTTGCCCTAGATTTCAATTGTGCCTTTCTTTTTCTTTTTGGTGTGGTGTGGTGTGGTGTGTGGTGTGGTGTGGTTGTTTGGTTTGGCTGTTTGGTTTGGTTTGGTTTTCTTTTACTTTTTATCAGGCATACAGCTGGCCGGGTTGTTAGCAACTCTTACCCATGGATGCTCAGTTTCTTTGAAAAATCCCTTATTGAACATGCAACTCAGAGGAACACGGCTGAGGAAGAGCAGGGGAGGGACAGTAGTTCCCTTTGCTTGGTATTGCCTCTCCTCTTCAAGCTCTAACGACTTCAGTGACACCTCCTTTACCTTGAAACCTTTTGATTCTATTTTAGCAGGTGTGTGCAAACGCTAACTGCACCCTTACCTTGATTGAAGGCAAAAATGCAGTTCTTTGCTGCACACTTTGGATTATGAGTTAGCCATGGCATATAGTATTTTGTCTTTTTACAAAATCTCTTTAGCCCCTTTGCATAAATGTATAACAGTTTTGCTCTAAATCCTTATGAAGAATTTTCAATATGTCTGATTTATCACTGCACTGTTTCTGATCCCACAAAATATGAGTAGAATGTAACATATTGTTCTGTCCTTTGAATAGTTCTCACTAGGCAAATAAGTGACCAGGGTCATCCAGTAGAGCACCGTAGTGCCCACCATTTGCTCTATGTACTTTCTAAAATGGACTAACACATTCTGCAGGAGCAGAGGCTTGTGGGTGAGGAATGAAGGTTACCCTCAAACACACCAATACAATATTCCAGGAAAAGATTCTGCCAAACTAAACACAATATGCAGAGGAGTGAAATATATTTGGTCATGTACTTCACTGACCATGATTAGATCCTGGGTAAGGATATTAACTTAATAGCTATTTGTCAGAGTTGGGCCATGTTGGGCCAAAACATGGCACCTAAACGCTGCATTACATTCATTCAAAACAGCACTCAGCAGCTTCGGCCAACCCAGAAGCTGCCTCGTGACTCTCAAGTCTGCTGATTTTGGTGGCTTATCTGATGCCATGACTCAAATATCTATCTACATTGTCTCTAGGCATTACACCTCGGCCATGTCCACCCATGGCTATTCATAGGCATCCTTTGAAAGCCCAAGAGTACCCTAGGACACTCTAAAATTCCTCCATCAGGTCTGTGCTTCCTTCTGGTGGATAGTCATTCATCCCTACCAAGATACTGAGTTCTCAGCTGTCTTTCACACCCTGGACATAAAGACTTACAAATACTGAAGTGGCAGGCATAGTTTGTAATGAAAAGGGCATTTACTGTGTCCTCTGCCCAAAGTCTCCTCCTGAGGACACAAAATTCTAGGTAACCAGTACCCAGAAGCATGAATATGTAGATATGAAGACCACCATCTCTCTGCATCCTTTTCCTGAAAAGAAACACTAAGCTCTGCCATCTCTTGGTGACACATTGTTAATCACCCTTGTCTACAGTGAAGAGGGCATATGAGAATAGTTCTATAATTTGAATACCATATATCTCCCAAAGGCCCATGTGTTTGTCTCTCAGGATGGTACTTTTTGGGATAATAGCATCTTTTAAGAAGTCTAGACAAGTCTTTATGTCACTGGGAAAGAAGCCTTGAAGAGTAAAGTGTGACCTCAGCTCCTTTTTCTCCTTTGCTTCCAGGTCCTGAATTGAGGTTTTACTCAACCACACATGCTCATCATAATGTTCTGCCTCTCCGAAGACCCAAAAGCCACAAGACAACCCATCCATGCACCAAAGCCTCCAAAACCACGAGCCAGAAGCCTTTCCTCTCATCAGTAGAGTATCTCGGGTCTTAGTAGAATGATACAAAACTAACAGAGTCAGTTTTAAGGGCCTCTACTCACTCTTCTACAAATACAGTAAAAAAGAAAAAAAATGAGTTTAAATTTAGCCAAAAGTCCTCCATTTGTGATGTCACACTCACTGAAGCAGTTTTAAATATCAATGTTTGTACAGAGTCTATTATGTATAAAAGATACTAAGCCTTGAAAGTTTGTTTGTTTGTTGGTTTTGTTTTCCGAGACAGGGTTTCTCTGTGTAGTCCTGGCTGTCCTGGAACTCACTCTGTAGACCAGGCTGGCCTCGAACTCAGAAATCCGCCTGCCTCTGCCTCCCAAGTGCTGGGATTAAAGGTGTTAGCCACCACCGCCCGGCGAAAGGTTTTTTGTTGTTGTTGTTGTTGTTGTTGTTGTTTTATATAAACTTTGGTCTTTTCTCCACTGGTAAAATTACTAGAAAATCGATACAAATGTAGAACCTTGAAGACTTTATTGGGGTGGCAGATTATTTACTATGATCAAATACTTGAAAAAAAAAAAAAAAACAACTGAGCACTTATTTTGGTTCATGAGCTAAACCATCTCCCACTAGAGTGTTACCAGGGAACCACCTTCGGCTTTCTTACCCTCAGTTTTGTCTGTTGATACAAGTGGTCTTCCTCTCAATTTTCCCTTTTGTTCGGCCACTCAGCTTCTGTTCTACTAACTCTAATAGCCCTGCAAGTTATGTCTCCTTGGCTGTCCTCAGTTTGACAGTTGTTATACTGTATCCTTGACTTGTGGCAACTGGGCACACGATTTAGCCACTAGTTTCTGTCTGATGTGCCATCAGCACACTGAGCTCTACACGATTCCCTGGTAGCCAAATTGGCCTACAGGGAACTTTCTAAATTTTGTCAGCTGTGCATGTCTCTATGGCTTTGTTGAATGACGACCAATGAACCTTCTCGTAGAACATGAGGGAAAGGGAACGAGAGAGAGAACACTTGCACGCGCACGCGTGCACGCGTGCGTGCACACACATACACACACACACAAACATCAGAAGATAACTTGCACCATGTGGGATCCAAAGGATTGAAGTCAGGACATCAGTCTTGGTATTCCCCATTCCCTTTCCCACCTACCTCAGAAGGCCTGGTCACAAGTGGGTTATTAATTTAACTATGCTTCTAGAAGCCATCCTGGGAATGAATTCAGACAATCTCCCAGGACCCTAAGCATGGCATTAAATCCTGTAGAAGAGGACTACTGTGTGATCTAAGACCCCAAGTGGCAGGGGGATGCTATCACACTATTTTCTCTTCTGATCCTCTTCAGCAGTGGTACCTTCCAAGCAGGCTAATTCTTACAGCTCCTGTTTTCTCAGGTCTTGAGCCTCCCTGTGTTTTATCTGAGCTGCATAGGCTCCATGCTCACTGGGAAAGCCTCTGCATCAGGGGCTCCTCATCCTTAAAGATCTTCCACAGCACCCACATACTTGTCTCACCTGTCAGGGGTGCTCAGGTTTCCCAGAGTGCCAGGACCTTTGCATGATACACTCCTCTGGACTGGAAGACATGAAAAGCCTTTTCCTACAAAACCAGAGGTCCTCTGGCTTCTGTGCATAGCTCATGTCCTTCTGTACCATTTTACAAAAACAGTGACGTAGGAATTGTCACCCAAACTTCTCCAAATACCTATAATTCAGCAGTCTAATGTTCTTCTCCCTTTGACTAAGGTTGTGGTTTCCACATAAAATCCCCCTAGACACCCATGTTCACATTTGTTTGCAGCTGGGGGTACTGTTTGAAAGGCTATGATAGGAGGCAGAGTCCCGACATCACTGTGGACCTCAAGGCCTTACAGCCCCATCCCACTTCCTGTCCTGCTTCCTACTGACAAAATGACAAACTGCTCTATGCTCCTACCACCATGCTTTCCCTGCCTTGACAGACTAAACCCTTCTGGAACCGGAGGCCAAAATATACCCTCCCTTCGGGAGTTGCTTTGGTAAAAGGATACCATCACAGCAGCAGAAGAGAAGCTGAGCTGACCACTAAGTTCAGTCTCCTAGGTCACTGTTGATATAAGAAGGAAGCAGACACCTGTGCCCCGACTGTCAGCTCTTCATTTATTACTTAAGACAGGTCTACAGACTTATCTTTGTGGTATGGATTCATCTCAGATTATTCTACCAACATTAGGTCAAAACTCATCAGTTTATAGAAAAATACCTACATATTTTCCAAAATAAGTTGATAAAACAAGAACTCAATATCAAAAGTATTCAAGTATAATGCTAAATTTATTTTAAAATGAGAGTCTCTGGGTGAAGCATCAGCAACACTAGTCCTGCCACTATGTGGATGAGAACAGACTTCTCGGTTCAGTGAGACAGTAACAAGCACTGGAGAGGACATACATTATAAGAAAACGGTGAACATGTCAACCACTAATGCAGATGTGAGGATTACACAGCATGAAGTCAGTGAAAAACAGAATATAACATGACTATCATTTTATAGATTGAAATATGAGGAAGAATACAGTAATTTTATCTGTAATACTTTGTAAAATCAGAGATATGAATTTATAAGCAGTGCCTTTAATAAAGACAGTAATTTAATTTCAAATAAATATATTTCTTTTCTATTCCTTTATCATGTATTTTATTATGTTTCTAACTGGCAAAACCCACCAGGTTATTGAACTCAGTAATAATCCAATCCATGATACTCCATCTGTCTTACCTTTAACTCATTTTCCGTACACTACAAGTTCACATAGCAGTTCCTATAAAACTGCTAGACCCTACCCCTAAGCCTAGTGTAACTAGCCTTTTGGACAAGGCCAAGGGAGGGTACATTTGAGCATCCTCGTGATTCAGCCTGCTCTTCCCACAACTGCCAACAAGGAGCGGCTCCTAGTTCTCCTGTTCCTCATAGTGAGCATAGCCACTGGCGTAGGTCCTTCCTAAGTTCAAATTATTGAACAGATCTGATGACTCGGCATCTGAGTCCTTCCCATCTTCTTCCTCTTCATCATCCTCTGCTTCATCCTCCTCCTCATCATCATGGTAGCCAGTATCGCCATACTTGTCTGACGACAGGTTCTTCCAATAAGCATCATACCCAGAAGCTCCATCTCCTTCTTCTCCTCCAGTCTGCCTGCCAAATTTCAAGGAGCGTGCTACAAAAGACAGTCACATCCATGTCATCAACCAGTGCCAATGCTCACACAGCCCACTGCCATGGGACATCATTACAGTGGTGCTACGCCTAAATGGAAAGGGAAGCATTCTCCTCATTTTCTCACAAAAATCTATACAACATAATCACAAATAACTAAGGCAAATACCAGACCTCAGTGAATATTAGTATGTTTCTTATATCAAATTGAAAAACTGTACTATGCATTTTTCAAAGCTATAAAACCCCACTTGCTTATGAGAATACATATCTTTTCAAACAAAAACAGAGTTCATAAATATATATGTATGTATATATACATACAGAGAGAGAAAAAAATAGAGAAAAAGATAAATGTAGTCTAAGCATGAAAGGCAACCAGTCCATTGAGAAGCCTTACTTGACATGCTAAGATCCTTTGTCTCCTGCGTTTCATGCCCACATTTAGGGCAAGGAGGTTGTTTCCCTTTTTCTTGCTTAAACACTTTGCTCCTTGTGTGTTCATCACAGAAACAAGCCTATACAAGAAAAGTAGGAACGAGGAAATATTTAGTTTAAGATATAAAAAGATACCATCCAGTATTGCAAGAAAATTTGAAGATAAGTTTTGCTCAAGGAAGAGTTCATTGTACTGTGATTGGTCACGTGCTCTTGATTTCAATTTCTTAATGGGAAACGGATCTTGTCAGGACTCTTCTGAAACAGGTCCTAAACAAAGCAGACACTTATACAAAGGATGACACAGAAAGTGGCTTATCATCTTGTTTACATTTGAGGTTTTTGATAACAAAACGTGGGTAATTCATCTTCAGAGTACACCACCATCCAACTAAGGGTGGAGAGGCAATTTCAAAGTCCTAGGTATTAAGAAAAAAAGAGAGGGCCACTGAACAACATGGAGTCTTAGCTGATATCGAAAGGTAGACAGGGTAAAGTGAGCAAAGACAGACATAGTCTATGCAGCAGAAAAGAACACAGACAACACGTAAAACCTCTTCAGCAGAAGCTCTGCTGACAAGCTAAAAGGCATTCCACAGCACTCACGCAGTACCGGGAGAGAAATAGGACAGGACATAGACAAGAACGGTTACAAAGAGAGAAGTGTTTCTGAGATAAATGAGATATTATCTCTCTAGTGATCTTCGAACAACAAAAACTCTGGTGACAGCCAAAGGAAACATAGAAATCTTCACCATGCATACGCTTCTAAGCAGGTACAACTGAATTCACAGCCCCAGGACTCGGTTCACAATGTTCTCCACAGACATGAGGCACAGGAAACACTGAGCTGGGATCCTGGGGACATGTAGTAGAGGAAACCACTACAAGCAAGTCGAAAGCCACTAAGTTACCAACTGCCATGCCACAAATCTTAAAGCTAAGAGTAAGCCAGACATGGCAGTTCAGGCCAGAAACCCCAATACTCAGGAATCAGAGGCAGAAGAATTACTGTGAATTCAAGGCCAGCCCAGACCTCACAGCAAGACTTAGTGCCAATTAATTAACTAGCTCATTAATTAATTTAAGAAAAAATAAAAGAAAAAACCACACAAGTTTAAGTTCCACATATATTAGCATTTAAGTATCCACGGACTGAAGCAAGAGTACAGAGATTCAAATCAAACTCTAAATTAGACAGTAAGCAGACACACCTTGCATCGGAGACATGAATGCTGGCCAAGTCGATTGCAAGAAACACCTGTGGAGACAAGACTCATCTTAACATCCTGTCAGTTCCTCGGCCTTGCATATATATTTCTGCCACTTCTTGTAACAGTGGATGCTTCCTCAATGGCCTCACAGCCTAATCAGTCAACTGCTGACATGCATGGTTCAAGTACCATAAACACACAAAGCACCCGTGCTTCCTCCACAGATAACTTTATTTTTGTCCTATATATTCTGCCAAAGCCTAAAATGAGGGTAGAGCAGTATTTAATGCAATGTACTTTAAAATACTCATGAAATTTTCTGTGTAAATACTGAATTTTATATACAGTGTGCGGTACATAGCTCAGATCAATGACTGAGCAACTAAAATCTGTAGAGTGTTGGATCAGCAACTCTCCCGGAATAAGAACTGTACAATACAAGTGAGGAACTAAGAACCAGAACGTCAGTCTTCTCTCTAGGATGGTAACTACTATTTAATGAGGGTCAGTATCAGGCATCACAGCATAAATACTTTATGCATATTCTCATTTCAATAGCCTTTTGAAATTATCTATAGATAACTCTAGTACTGTTACTATTAACCCAATTAGTCCCATTGGTTCTCAACTAGAAAATGCAGGATTTTGAGTGGAGGTTAAATACTGAGCTCAGACACCCAACCCTAAAGATGAGCTCTTCGGGGACGAAGTCAGAGTCCCTGCCCGGCTAGAGATGAACTAGGAGTGGGATCATAGAGCTACAGGCATTGAGAAGGGGAAGGAGAGGCTGGCTTGGTTGGTAGAGGAAACCTCAAAGTGAAAATGCCAGCTGGTACACAGGACCAGGAACATCACAAAACCAGCAAGGTCTGATCAAGGCCACAAAACGAAGAAGGGCTCAGTCAGTATACCACTATTATCCCCACAGAAAAACTCAGCGCTAATGTTTGGAGGCTTTTTCCCATAATATACACACCACACAACATACTAAGAGGTGACATTAAAAAATGTATTCCTTTTAATTAAATGTCACATTTACACTATTCAGAATCCTAGGTACAAAAACAGCTAACAAAACAACTTACATTTAAATGTTTCTGCTTCTAAAACTTGGCAGCTGGCTTGATGCTCAAACTGGTCATCTTCACAGAGAAAATTATGGCAAAACGAACAGCTGAATATTCTGCCTCCTGTGAGATTAAATAAAACCCACAAATGTAATATGGCAAACTGCTTGTCAAAGATGGCAACTAAATTCAGAAGTGCATCAAAACTGTGTGTGGCAGCAGCTGAAAGAGAACCACTGATGTACTTCAAATTAAACCATTAAAGTGTGGGTCTCTACTCTCTCCTGCCCACTTACAGAACAGGTACAGGCTTAAGAGAGGTGCCTGTCCTCCCCCAAACTGCCTTCTCCACCTGTTTGGGTGAACAGCATCAGTACTTCCTAATACTGCTGGGACAATCCCCCTCCAACCAAACTGCTCGCTGAAATTGTACCAGTAGTTAAAACTCTGAAAGTCTCTATGTGGGGCAAGCGAGTAAGCGAGCAAGCATCCACTCGTAACTAAGACTGATTGGCGGCACCTCATCACTCACCATGGTCCCACACTCCTCGCTCACATTCCACACACTCAGCATCCGTGAGTGGGCAGGCACAGGCATGGGTGCTAAGACACTTCCTCCCATGGCAAACCCAAGCTTCGCAGAAGTCACATATTGCACCCTGCAACAAGAAACAAGAGCTCGAGATCAGCTCCCACAGGAGCTGCAACCACTAAGGGGGTTACAAAAGACAGCAAGTGGGGCACTCGCTTTGGCTTGTGAGACCCGGTGTAGGACACCTTCCATCTATCTATCCTTCATCTGCTAGGAATCTAGCAATAAAGACGGGCTCTCAACTACACAATCCAGAAGATGTTAAGGCACAGAACTCAGAAATACACAGCAAAGGGCTCGGGGAAAACAGATGGTTCAGTTGCCTTCCTGCTCATCCCACACAAGGACATGGACGGTAGCAAGTGGTTATCAGCACAGAAAGGAAGAGTGGGCAAAGGACTCATGTCTGGAGAACTGAGTTCTATCCCAGGGAAAATCCCAGTTTAGGGAAATTACCATAAACAATACACATAAAACTACTATTACTGGGGCTGGAAAGACGGCTCAGGGTTAAGAGCACTGTCTGCTTTTCCATAGGTCATGAGTTCAAATCTCAGCAACCACATGTTAGCTCACAACCATCTATACTAGGATCTGATGCCCTCTCCTTCTGACATGTGGGTGTATACGACGACAGAGTGCTCATAAACATAAAGCAGAACAGTAGTATTTTCCTCAAAGAATGTAATTTGGACATAAAGTATAATAAATAATGCTGCAGAATATAACAAAACCATAGCTCATACTTAAAATACTATCTTCTAGTGAAAAAGAACAAAATATATCAAATAATCCACCTATTTTTATTTATGGCACTAAAATTCCTCACAAAACCCTATCAAGTAAAGGTAATAGATAACTAATATATACTTTTTGTCAGATTTAATATTTAAACCTTAAATTCTTTTGAACCTTATTTAACCAAAAGGTCTTACAAAGTCAAGAAATTTATTTTGTGATATCTGTTTAACATTTTAGAAAGGTTCCTTTCTTTGGATGCCCAACTAAGATTACACAGAAAGCACTGCGTCTGGCTGGGGAGATCCTACAGGCTTCGCTCCCCCTGGCTGGCACTCACAGTGCTAGACGGTGCTATGCACGCTGCTGGAGGGGAGAGTAGTCAGCAGTCTTACCCAGATGCAATCCTGTAAGCTACAACCTGACTGATCAACAGTGGCATGGACGCTTGGGAACCACCGACTACTCCTGCCGGGTTTAAGGCCTACTCCAGAAGATGGAACTCATGCCTGGCACTATCATCAGGACCAAAGAACCTGTGGCTCCATGGGTCACGGGTCACATTACTATTATTCTGCTAATTCGACACAGAATTAAAATGACTCGTAATGACTTACTGCTGTACACATAGATCAGCACATCTCTTAAACCTCATCAGAAGCTCCTCTTCTTACAATACATGGTAATTAACATAAAGACTAAAGCTGGTCAGTCTGTGGAGGTAAGAGACTGCAGAGAGCAGAAAGATGTCTACAACATATCCCTCTCTTCAAGGATCAGGGGTCTCTAACAAAGACAGGGTGTAAGATCCAGAGACCGTAGAGGACTATGAGGAAATCAGAGAGTGCCAAGACACAGTGGGGCAGCTGCACATAGAAAGCACAGCCACTTTTGACAGAATGCACAGAAAACCTGTGCAAGAAGCTCAAAGCCAGCATTACCCCAGCACAGCGATGAGGTCTGAGCAAAAGGTCCCTCCCTGTTGGTATCTGATAAGCTGCTGGGACAGGACCAGTTTTCCTTGAGGGTGTGATCCCTGGTTGGCTGGCCATGCTCTAAGGTAGGCATTACCTCTAATAGTATTGACAAAATAAATTGGACTCAATAGGTTAAAATAGTATAAAATAAAATTAAAACAAGAACACAAAGTTGGGTGGATAGAGATGAGGATAGATCTGGGGAGAGGTTGAAGTCAATCTGGTAGAAATATATTGTATAAAATTCTATAGGAATTAGTAAAAATTATTTTTAAAACAGATTAAAATATGGGTTAAAATGACTTAATCTTATCCTTGGAAACCTACTACACAAAGAAATGAAAAGCAGCTTACCACCATAGCAAGGCCAGTACTGTACACACCAGCATGCTTGATTACACAGTCTGAAGACTTCATCATACACTTTGTTTTCCCTGGTTAAAAAGAATGTACATATAGACTATTAGCCCTATAAATTTGTACATACAGAAACTGTTCACTAGTTCCTCTGTGATCTAACTCAAGTGCCTATGGAAATAATGTTTTCAAAAATTTAAAAATGAAAGCGGTTATTTATCCACTTATACGAACAGAAAAAATACATAGATATATATCTCATTACTTTAGTCAGATCTTGAGAGATTAGAAACGTATTAACCCATAAAAGCTGTTGTATAATAATTTATATAGAACATGCTAATTCATGCTTATAATAAAAGCAAAAGTTCCTAGTTATGCATTGTAATCCAATGATCATTTTGGCAATTTCAAATCTTATGAAATTCAAGCATGCTTTAAAATGAATTTTATATTCATAAATAACAATACAAACTGCCTGACTTGGACATACCAGTTATTTCTTGCTACGTACTATCAAAGCACAGTGAATAACTACAGAGCCTAATTGTTGCACTTAAGTTTATTCATATATAAAAATCACCATGGAGCCTGAAATGTGCTCATCTACAAATTACCAAGCCCCATACGGCCAGGAATCTGCTTGTATGACAGTATGTCAAGATTAGTGATGACATAGGAACTGCCCATCAGACTACAGAGTGGAACACAGGACAAAAAGAAGATGCTTGATGTACCAGCACCTTGCTTCCTGAGAAGCAGAATTAGGTAACAGGAAAGGAAGAAAGAAAAACTGGATGCAGGGCAGTAGCTACCCAGCTGTTCTATGTCAAACACAAAGTGTACGACTGCAATAGAAAATGCATCTGTACACAGGTCTCTAAAGTCCAAACCTAGAGACACTGAACATGCAGGGACTGCCTTCCACCTGTCCACAAACTTGTTCTCTCAGCCTACATCCACATGCATCAATACAGCAAAGGCAGCTGAGTCTCTCTTCTCTACTGGCTGTGGAACTGAATAAATGACCTCTTGGAAAACTAGATCCACACTAGAAATATTCCACATGTAGCCCTCATCACTAACCTGCAGCTCTGTACCAGCATATAGCAATGGCACCCCAAATGGTTCCACTGAAACCTTCCCCTCCTAAGTAGAAAGGATATGATTTGTTCCAGCACAACAGCTTGGGGTGAACCTGGAGTAAAGCTGACTAGGTTCCCTAAGTCGAGTCTCCATGAAGACACAGAGAGACACGGCAAAGACTGCCAGCCTTGGTGTGAGTGTGCTTTCTGAGCAGATGTGTTTGCAAAGTAAGAGCCTGTGGCGGCTACTTAGGAAACACTGATGTTTCTTCTCTAGGAAATATCATTCAGTTTTATTTTGAATTTAGGGAAATAGCTCCGTCTAGACTTGGTAACTGCCACACAAACATTTGATTGATAAAGACATGCCTTCATGGTTGTATACTTACCACACTGTGCACAAATTGGTAACTTCTGAACAGAATTACAAAAATAGCAAAATGCTCTATTCTTCTGCCGCCTTGTCATGTAAAACAAAAATTTTAAATAGGGTCAATTTCAGATAAAGGACGAGGCTAATTTACCCCTGTGCTGGTTAGTTTTTAGTCAGCTTGACATAACTAGAGTGATGAGAGGAGGGGCAACAACGGAGGAGCCGCCTCCATCAGACTGTGCGGTGGCTGGTGTCTGCAGAGCATTTTCTCAACTGCTACTTGATGGAGGAGGACCCACTGCACGGAGGGCAGTGCCACCCTGGCAGGCAGTCCTGGGCTGTATTAGAAGGACGGGCAGTCAAGTGAGTCTGGAGCCAGCATTGCAATAGCATTCCTCCATCGCCTGGGCATCGGTTCCCGCCCCAAGGCTCTTGCCTTCACCTCCTGCATTGGCTCCCCTCATCGATGTAAGATGGAATGAACCCTTTCCTCCCCACGTGTTATAGCACAGCAACGAAAAGTACACAAGGACAATTTCATACGGAAAGAAAAAATAAAGAAAATTTACCTCTGACATTTATCGCATTCCTGTAAAATTTAAAGCATAACATTAATTTTCTGCTGGCTGAAAATGGAACAATTATTTATATCAGAAAAACTATTTTCTTTCCCAACCTAAAATACAACTGGTTCTCCATCCCAATTCCAGCTCAACCCATGGGTACAAGCTCTTGTACATACTCCACTAGCAAAAGTAAACAAAAACAGTTACACTGTGATCAATGATGGGAAAAGGCCGTCCTACAAAAGAAGTTAAATATAGTAGATTCCCTTTGGATTGTTTTGAAGGAACCAACTACTATAGAGACTAGACAAGTTCCTGCTCAGTTTTCTAGTTTAATTAAAAGCATCCTATTTGCTAATACTGAGTGGATGCAAGAAATAAAAGAGGAAATGATAAAGATCATAAACTCCGCTCAAGTAGAGCTTTCGAAGCTCTCGTCTGTCGCTCTCTAGAGTCCGGCTTCCATCACCACGTTCCAGCCTCTTCCCCCATGCCGCATTTACTCTAGCCCTCTCCCTTACTGAACGAAATCCCAACATCTACAGCATGACACACACTATGCGCGCCAGCCACTGTCTTGTTTATTAGCACTCCTTTTTTCTCAAAAGAACCTGACATTCACAACACAGTTAGTTCCCCGACACATCTGTACCATGAAATCTGAACGAGTACACCATCCATCAGTCCTGAGACAAAAAAGGACACAAGCCCAACCTATGAGAACTCCTTCTCTGTGACCTCCACAATATGAGATGTGATATAAGCATGCGACCAGAAACCAAGAAGCTAAACAAATAAAGCATGTCAATCCTCAGAGGAGAAGAAGCAAAGAAACAAGAGCAAAGACTGTCCCAAGGTCTAGCTGTCCCCAAGTCTTATTATATCCTTTCTTCTTCCCAGTCCTTGGAGGTACTACTCCAGTGAAGTACTTTTCCCAAAGTTAAATTCTGTCATTCATACACAAATGAGTCCTATGGAGTACAGGACCCTAGAGAATCCAATAAACATAAAAGGGAGGCATGCTATCTGCCATCAGGGTTGCACCCAGAGCTGATGCAGAATACACATCCCCCTGAATGATAAACATGTTAAATTAAGTCATGTAAATGAAGTATTAAAAAACAATCACAGATTGCCAAGACCAACCTGCTTAGCATAGGCAAATCAGTCAAGAACAGGAGACTGTCTAGAAGTCAGGGTGCTCGGCGAGAAAATCAGGGAAAGAAGACTGGCTAAGAGAAACCGATGACACCTGAGCCAAAGAGTACATCAAAAGGTGGGCCCTCTCACTCAGTTCCTGCTACCCACTCGCCTTCAGCACCTATTGTCACCAGCAGTATATGAGGTGATACACCAGGCTTGATAAGTAATACATACTCTAACAAAAAAAACAAACATTGTTACTCAGTAAAAATACCGACCATGCCTCTATGTACAGTAAGCACATGGGCACACTGTAGCTGATCACTTTTTTCAGATAGATCTTACACATGGTACTATATAGTCCTTCCATTCAACCACCAGCCATTATTTTCAAACGGTCTCACCATTGAAGCATTGCACGGGTGCTTGGCTAGGTCGACAGTACTTCTTGATGCCCGGAGTTGTTTCTCGCGTTCTCGACGGTTCTCTGCCTTTTTCCTCGCACCAGTCTTTTTTTTCGGCATGTTCCCTTCTTTCTAAACGAGAAAACAGAAAAGCTATAATTGCTGGGTGCAGTTACACAGCGTTTATACTGTCCTTAAATATTAAGTCAATTTTTCAATTTTAAACGCCTCACCTCATCACGAGTCTGAAGCCTTTAGCAACATGACACACACATTACTGCAGCTGTAGGCTCCAAAAATAAAGCCCTTCTCTGCGCCTCCAAACAACTCAATCAGTGTAAGCATCAAGAACCTCACCATAAGAGCCAGAGTAATTGTTTTTTTCACCCTAACTATTCTCCTCTTCATTCAAAAAACCTATGTACGTACCATTAGTAAGAAATGTAAAATATTCGTCTTGTACCAAGTTGAAATAACCATTTTGAGCTATACAGCCTCATCCCTAATGCTGTCAACATACAGTATTACACAGTACACTCTCGCCTACATGGTATCTAAACAAATATCCAGCAAGCCAAGGCCTGACTGCAAAAAACTCATTTTCCCCGAGGAGACTAAGGACCTACAGTCGCTCTCGATGCCTGTCCCTCGTGCCTAGAAGCAACAGTTTTAACAAGTCAGATGTTTTGGAGTTTGTTTCCCATACAGACATCAAATCTTACAAAACCGGTTTTCAGCATTCAGAAAAGCTGCACGATAGACAACCAGGCTTCTTAATGCCCAATCCTTTCGGGTAGGACAGCCTTCAGAGCTAATCGGTAGTTAATCGTCGTGGCCATGTCACGGGGCCTTCAGTCAGTATTTAAAATTGAAGTCTGGAGCTTGTGGCTGACCCACTGAGACATCTCAGATGTAATTTTTTTTTCCTCGAATCTATTTGTACCAACGACGAGAGATTTCTTTCAGCTCATGCCTGGACCACAGTGACAGCGGAGCGACACTGGGTTCCGAGCTCTGAGAGGCCCGGACGCGGGGGCGCGGGGAGACTCAGGCGGCTCGCGACCTGCCAGCCTCCCCCGGGTCTCTCACGCCCTCCCGGCCCACCCACGTCGCGCGGCCTCGCGGGGACGCGCCGCTCACCGCAGTGGCCGAGGACGCAGAGGTGAGGCCAAGCCGCGGGCCAGAACGGCAGACAGTCCGTTTCCAACAGCGGGAGCGAGAGCGGATATCCTGCTACGTCAAAGCGTCCAAGTTGCACACGTCAACCGGAAGAGTCCAGCATGCCCCGCCCAGCTCTCCTTACTCCGCCCCGACCTCGCCCCCTGACGGGGGAGGGGGAGGGCTCGCCTTCCCGGAAGTGGACTTGCTAGGGAGGGAAGAGGTGCCAGCGTTGGGAAGAAAATAGGGGTCAGAGAGCTACAGGATCTCAAGACTTCTGCCATGTCATTCTAATTTTATAATTTTTCTCAGAGAATTGAAACGTCCAAAAAGAGGAGGAAGACGAACCCACAAAAAATTTCAAGAGGGGGAAAAATTACTTTGCTAGCAACTTTTGCCTGACTCTTCTGAAATCCTTTCCTTTCTGTGAGCCTGACAAGCCTCACATCTCACATTTTTACTTTTCTTCGTTGTTTTCTGAGACATAATGAATGGAAGCCTGGCCTTGAAGCCAGAGGCCCTGCCTCTGTTTCTCAGCGCTAGGATTATAGATGGGCATGCGCACGAGAGACCACAGATCCGCCCCCTCCTTTTTATTTAATCTTGAGTTCGAGACCACAGGTCCACCCCCTCCTTTTTTTATTAAATCTTGAGTTCGAGACCACAGGTCCACTCCCTCCTTTTTATTTAATCTTGAGTTCGGAGGTGTCTTTTGCTTGCGCTCTGCTGTGTGCATTCTGTTCTTTTGTGAGCAAATCCTCCCACGTTCTCTGCTTCTGGTCTAAGGCTGAGATCTGACTATGTTTTCCCACAAGACCGATTGCTTTAAATAACACTGAAGGCAAATGTTTCACTGTCACTTCCCCCTTACCTTTCCGGAGGAAATCCTTGACATTACCCCCAGAACCACATGCGATTATCACTTACTGCCTGTTGTCACCTTCTATAGTTGAGTGGAGCTGTTTTATATCCACCCATATTTTTGCCCTTACCTTTTTTTCACATTCACATCCCAATGGAAGATGTCTCGTTTTAGTCTCCTGATCTTTTTCATCCCCATCCAGGAATCTGCTTTCATAACCACACCTTTTATCTCCAAAGAGAGCAGTAAAGTTGCCATGACTCAAGTCATAAATCCTATCTTTTATGGACCAAGTCTGTCACTAACTGCCTTGGAAAGACACTCGGAGTCAGCATTAAGTAGAGGCAGTCTGTTTGTGAAAGCATTTGGGAACACCAGTTGTGGAACGTGTGGTAATGGACTAGACAGAGGAAAGAGATGACCTAAATTATACTGTCAGTGAAGGGCTTGGCTCTGAATCTGAGACATTTCTTCAGTAGTGTCCTGACTAGGGTAGACGGACTGGAACTTTGTAGCCTCTGACAATTCTGCATACAGGAAACCAAAGGAAAGAGTATGTCTTGAGGTACACCACTAATGAAGAGATTGGACAGCTGACTAGGGTCAGCCTGCTATACTCCAGCCAGCTCAGATGTACAGACTGTCACCTCTGGAGAGAAGGACATTTATTGATAACAAAATAAATATTCAAAAGCATCCTACAGCTCAGATCCTCAATAAAAGAACTCCAAATGGTGTGCTTTAGAAACAAGAAAACAGAATCTGAAGGAGAGGAAGGATCTTTATGCCAAATATATAATTAATTCATTTAGTGTATAAGTTAATTCTAAACCATAAATACAAAACAAAAAAATTCAAATTTTGGTATAGAAACTACACAGAAATAAAACCTCACCAAGATATAATTAAAGTCGAATGATGACAGATTTTTAGCGGAATTTGATGGACTTAAAGGGATGGTCACAAAGCCCAGGCCATTTAAACACAAGCAGAAGGAGGATGTCACTATGTATTTGAAAACTTCAATATGTTAATTAACGCAATATTTTATAGTATCGGTCACAAATAAATAAACAAGTGCATCTGCATAGAGAGCTTAAAGAAAACTCACAGTAGGGTACATGGAGAGTAGGAATCACAGCATTATCAGTGAGAGGAGAACCGTTGTCAAGGTGACCCAGTCAGCTACTCAGATAGAAGAAAATGAAATTAGAATCCTCCTTTACAACACATAAAAATTCCAGGTGAGGGGCTAGAAAGACTGCTCAGTGATTAAGAGCACTTGCTGCTCTTCCGAAGAACCTTGGTTAAATTCCCAGCTCCTAAATGGCAGCTCACAACCATCTGTAACTCCAGTCTTAGAGGATATACCACCATCTTCTGTTATCCATGGGTACTGTACATACATAAGGCATAGATATACATGCAGGCAATACTCACACATAAAATAAATGAAATATTTTTTAAAATTTTAAAATTCTACATAAATTAAATAGCTAAATATACAAAGCAAAAATACAAAGGCAGCGTAAGAAACTCAAGGGGGACATCTACAATGAAGTAGGACTAATGCCCACATAAACACAAATTGGAAAAGCAATAGAAACACAGTGAGTTCAAAACATAAAACTTCTACATGATCAAAGCCATCATAGGTATAAGGAAAGTATAAATCCAAATGAAAAGAATTTTGACAATCTAACTGAGAAGAAATTTATATCTAGGAGAAATAATTCTACTTGGTGAGAAGACTGTAGAAAATCCTAAGGAATTATAGGCAAAGAATATGGACAAAGGACTTTAATAGAACAAAGAATTCTAATGACATTCAAAATATCTAGATCAGCACCAGAATGGGATGCTATTCATGATGGTTAGACTGGGATGGTTACAGGCTTATGTGGACGAGCATTTGAGCCTAGTGCTGATTGGGGAGGTTAGGAGGCATGGTCATGTCACTGAGCAAAGGCTTTGAAAATTAAATTTACAGTTGTTCTCTCTGCTTCTTTCCTTTGAGATGTGAGCCCTCAGCTTTCCACTGCAGCTGCTATGTCTGCCACATGCTGCCATGCTGTCCCCACCACCATGGACTCCATCCCACTGGAATCGTAAGCCCAAATAAACACTTTCTTCCATAAGCTGCTTTGGTCATGGTGTTTTATCACAGCAACAGAGAAGTAACTAATGGACTATTAACACCTATCACACTGACCAGAGTTTTGAAAGCCTGGCAATCTGAAATATTAAATCTGGTGGAAGTACATATTGTCATACCTGTGCTAGCTACATTGAAGGAAATAAATTATGTGCAAAACCAAAGACTGCATTTTCTTAGGTGTCTAACAGAAAAAGCATACAAGTATAATACTGTCTAATAGCAACATTTTGTTATGTGTTGTCTATGTAATATAATAGTAAAAATTTATAAATTTAATCTTTAATAATCAAAGTAGGCAATCACAATATATTGTGTATAGATTAAAGAAAAGGCAAACTGAAATATTATATATTTAAAATTGTAAGCAAAAATTGTGTGCATTCTTTATTCATATATATAGACTAAACAGAATTGTGAAAACATGCCTAGAAATGGTACATATCAGCTTTGATCCTCTGGAGAGAAAAGGAGAAATAATTGTGTGGGATTCTAGCTAGAGTTTTAGGTTTTACAACTATACCAACCCAAAGCTACTAGAATGCTGAAGACAAAAAAGACCAACAATACTTAGTGTTGGTGAAGACAGAGAGCATCTTAACTGGGGACAAATGAATAGTATGGGAAGTGGAATTTGGGGCAGATGCAGAGCAAGTTATTTAATATATAGATACGTAATAACAGATGTATAATTTACCCCTAATTCATATATACATTTGCTGAAGTGTTATGTAAAAGAATGTTCATAGCAACCTACTGCAATAAACTCCAAGTTTAATAATTCAATCATCTCTTGTCAGGACAATGAGTGAATGATTATTGACATATTCACACGAGGCCAGGGAAGTTGCATTGGGTAGGAGGAAGAAAAAGAAGAAAAACGTGAGCATACAGGAAGAAAGAAATTGTAGAGAGAGAGAGAGAGAGAGAGAGAGGGAGGGAGGGAGGGAGGGAGGGAGGGAGGGAGAGAGAGAGAGAGAGAGAGGGAGAGAGAGAGAGAGAGGCTGGATTATATAGGAAAGAGCTTCTTGGGGAGGGGAATTCCAGCCCTTGGGCTGGAAAGTTCAGCATAGAGGGCAAGGGTATGCCAAACATGCCCTGTAACAGGTAGGGACTGAGGGATGCTGGTTTGTAAAATATGCACCTCAGCCCTTTGTCTCAGGTCTGATCCAATATCCACAAAAGGACTGCATTGCTGTGTTAGTCAGGGTTCTCTAGAGTCACAGAACTTATGGAATGTCTCTATCTATTAAGGGAATTTGTTGTGATGACTTACAGTCTGTAGTCCAACTACCCCAGCAATGGTCAGGTGTGAATGGAAGTCCAAGAATCTAGTGGTTGCTCAGCCCCACGAGGCTAGCTGCTCCAGCTGGTCTTCTGTAGAAGTAGATTGCAGCAGATGTGCTGGCAAGTAAAGGAAGGCAGGAGAAGAAGAGCGATTCTTCCTTCTGCCAATGTCCTTATGTAGGCTTCCAGCAGAAGGTGTGGCCCAGATTAAAGGTGTGTACCACCACACCTGGATCTGGGACTTGTTTCATCCCAGGCTGATCTTGAACTCAGAGATCTACTTGCCTTAGTCCCCTGGGATTAAAGACATGTACTACCTTACCTGGGCCAAAGCTTTTCATGGCCACAGTGCCTCAAGATCTCCATGCCAAGATCCAGGTCAGAAACTTTTGTCTTTCAGCCTCAAGATCTGGATCACAGGTGAGCCCTCCAATTCTGGATTGTAGTTCACTCCCTATGTAGTCAGGCTGACAATCAGGAACAGCCGTTACAACGCTCTGTTACAATTGCTCCGGGCATCTCAGTGCTCAGCTGGGCTGACTGGTGATTCTTTGACAAGATTATAGTATATACAGAAAAAAAGCCTTATACTGTTCAGAACCAACTAACAACTTATTTTTCCATTTTCTGTGGTTCCCCCTCTTTACTGCCCACTGGTCCAGTTTGTCACACTGTAGCTATCAAGCATCTCCCATGACCATTCAGGTTTATAAATGTCTTTTACTTTTAGAGTTATTTCTAGTTTCTCAGACTTACTTCAACATTATATTTATCACCTATACAATCTCCA